TTGGTTTTTGGTTTTTTTTTCAAAACAGGCTTGCTTGCACTTGCTAAAGCCTAAGGCAAGGATGCAAGCATCATCCTGTGTGGTTTGCCAGTGGCAACAGCTGAACCCAAAATAGACTCCAGGCCGCTGAGCATCACCACAGCGCAGAGCTGCTGGCTTGTACCTTCTTTCCAGCATCCTTCTAGTCGCAGAGAGCATCGAGGGGCTGGAGAGGCACTGGCCACAAAAAAAAGTTTCCATTCATCGACTGGCATTTATTACTAACTTCAAGTGGTTCTTCCACTGGGGAGAGTCCAGAACAGTCATGGAAACCCTTGTGGGGGGCTATATAACGCCAAGGCACAGCAAGGGGCAGCAGGTAGGTCTAAGCTACCCCAAGCCAGCAAGAGCCAGGCTGCTGCTGGAGCCGACCGAGACCCAGCCTGGACATGAAGGTCTTCTCCTTGGCCCTGGCTTCTGTGCTTCTCCTTGCTCTCTGGACTGAAACCCAGGGCAGGTCCTGTAAGTACCAACTCTGAGCCTTTTCCCATACCCCATGGGCTGCCCCAGTCCTGTGCCAGCCTCCTCCAGCCTGGAGTTAGGGAAGTCAGGGAGGGGGGAACTGCCTGAATTCCTGCTTCTGGCTGCGGGCTTCAGTTGCTGAAGGGTATCCAAAGCTGCCCAGGCTGCCCTGTTCCCATTTCGGGGGGGGGGGGGGGAGCCGGCCTGGGTTGTAGGGCCAGATCCTGGCTTTTAGTTGCTCTTGGCCATAGCTGCCATCGGCAAGCAGGACGGGTAGAGAACTGACTCAGGTCGTGACTCGTTTAGGACTAGACCAACTGCTCTTGCTCCTTTTCAGTCCGCATCTCCTACACCACGTGCTGCTACCCAAAGATGTTCATCCGAAAGGCAATCCTGACCTCCTGCATCAAAAGCTACAGGGAGACATCGCCCTCCTGCACCTACAGAGCCATGCTGTGAGTATCCCCCAGAGGCTGCATCCCACCAGCCACAGCCTTCCTCCCAGTGCCACGCTCCTCCTCACCTGGCACCGCAGGCCCACAATGCCCCTGCTAATTATCCAGTCACGGCTAAGGCTCTGGAACAAACTGCCCTCGAAGGCAATGTCCTGCATGCCAGGCTGCAGTGGCCCAGCTGCTGACACAGAACACCCTCCTTGCTGGTTTATGCCAAATACTCCAATAAACCCAATTTTTAAGTTGCCAGCTGGGAAAGAAGCAAAGGCTAAAGACTGTTGAAAGAGGGCTAGAGGGTGCTAAGAGTCAGCAATTCTAGGAGCTGTCAGAGGGGGTGCTGCTGGTGCAAGCTGAAGGCCCCGAGCCACCCCCAGGGCCTCACACCCTGCCAGCAAGGCCACCGCAGAAGACCCCCAGGCACATCCTGGTGCTGGCAAACAGCAGACTAACAACAACCTCCCTCTCTTCCCAGCATCGAGCTGCAGTCGGGGAAGAAATTCTGCGTGGACCCCAAAGAAGCATGGTTCCAGAAGTATCTACAGAGACAAAAACAGACATCATCTAGACTTTAAGCAGCAGCTAACATATATGCTATTTATTTACTTATCTATGGTTTGCAATGTTTGGTCTCATCTCATTAACTTATGGAGCAAGCCCTCACCATCTGCTCCCCTCATCCCCTGCAGTCACATCACATCCACTGCTCAACTCTACTGCATTGCCCTCTACCAATTTAATAAAACACTCTGCTCTGACCTGCACATCCATGTCACTGAAGTGAGAAGGTGCACATTCCTCTTGGGAAAGGAGGGCTCACATCAGGGCTTCGCTTTCCTATGGGGAGCCTAGAAATAGCCTGCAAGACCTTAGGAGGGTAGAGCCACCAGAGGAGAGAAAGAAAGACCTTGAGATGCTCTGCAAACTCAGGATGCCAGGCTCAGTGCTAAGGCTACAAGCTGACCCCCAGTCTCCTCCCACAGACAGGGCAGGGCCTGCCCTGGGCAGGGGGTTTAAGGAGGCCCTGCACAGCTGCCAGCCCTTGGGTGCTGACTGAGGCAAGGGCAGCCAGGTGCAGGTAGTTGGTGCAGGGGTTGTGGGGTTTTTTCTTATTTATACCTATGGAGGGGGGGGTTGGTTTTGGTTTTTTGTTTTTTAATCTCTCTGCTGGAGCTACTGAGGGAGAAGCACAGCTGGAAGGGGGCAGCTGCATTGCAGCCGGGCGTCCTGGAGAGGAGCAGGGCGTTAAACGCGGGCTGCTGGGGGTGGAGGTTTAGGGATACGGCTCTGCAGCGCTGCGGGCAAGGAGCAGGGCAAGGCAGCCAGGGGGCCCTGGGATCCTGCGGTGATGGCCCGGTTCCTAGCCAGCAAGGGAAATCTCTGCAAAACGCCGAAGCCCCCAGGGTGATGGCTGCTCTTCACTCCCAGGGATAAGAACAGCCCCAGAGAGCCAAGGGAGATGTTTAGGTGCAGAGATGCGGGGGGAGCTCTCGCTGCGGGTTTAGCACCGTCCTTCAGCCCGGGGCTCGCGTGGCCCCAGCTCACTCTGAGCCTGGCGGGAGCTCTGGCCGGGTACGAGGAGAAAGGGCAGCACGTGTCCAGATGGGACCACTCCAGGCGGAAGTAACTAGGGACTTTCTCATTTCCCGTGCAGCTTACATCACGGCCTGCCTCAGGATGGCATGGCCAAAATAGCAGCTTGTTGGCAAAGACAAAGGAAATTGGATCATGGTGTTACTCATTTCAATGATTTCCCTAAAACATGGAAGTATTCGAAAATGCACGCCTTGGCTTTCTCTGCATTTCCTCCCTCAGTCGCGGCTGGGCCAGCTCCGGCGGCAGCGCCAGACTCC